GGACTTCTTACTCATGTCATTGGCCTTCTTGTCTCACAACCATGGACCTCTTGGGACTTAGTCACTAGTGAATATAATGCTCCATCACCACGCCCTTCTCATTCGTGTCCATGCCCCTCCCGTGAGGCGGCATGTTTTCTTCATTTGTGGCCATGGACTTCTCAATCATAGACATAGCCCCTCTCGTGAGGCGGCATGTCCTTCCCATACTTAGTCTATTTTGGGTCAATCGGTCTTGATCATGAGGCATCATTGCCTCTTCCTTCACGGCCATGGACTTCTAAGTCATGTTTGTGGTCCTTCTCGTGACACGACATGACCTTCTCATACTTAGCATTTTTCAATTGTGTCTATGACCTCTTGTCTCGCGTCCATGCCCCTTCTCGTGAAGTGGCATGGACATCTCAGACTTAGTCATTTTTATTTCCTTTTAAGATGATGTGTGCTTATAGATTCTAGATGAACATGACCCTCCTTGTTGAAGCGACATGTGCTTCTCCTTGAAACGACATGTACCTCTTCCAGGCTTAGTTTATTTTTCACTCATTCGGTCTTGGTCGTGAGGCGACATGGCCTCTTCGTGAAGTGGCACGTCCTTCTCGAGACTTAAAATATTTTTTACCATACCGGGTATTCCTTGAGGTGGTATGTGCTTCTAAATTCTAGACGGACATGGCCCTTCTGGTTGAAGCGGCACATGCCTCTCTGGACTTAGAATATTTTGTACACCGGAGGGGGCCATGATCATGTTTCCATGACGTCTTCCTTGAGATGACATGTGCTTCTAAACTCTAGATGGACATGGTCCCTCCTCATTGAAGCGGCACGTCCCTCTCTAGACTTAGAATATTTTTGTGTCATCTCGTGGCACGGCATGGCCTCTTACGAGAGGCCCATGTCCATCGTTGAATTACGTCCATGCTATTTAATGAATTAGTGGCTTGAGTTTAAAATCAATATCCATAAAGCCCAACTTAAACAACATTAATATTTATAATTAATTTAGCCTTATAAACTCATCGATTATCTTGTAACTCACCAATGTGATACAAGACAAATTATGGTGTAAACACTTTTACACGTAATTTGTTGAACAACACACCAACATGTATGTACACATTCATATTCATCTTCGACAAATAAAAATTGAGTGGATCATATTCATCAATTACAAAGGTATGCGTTATAACTTATCTTTTTCGTTATTTATTCGTATATGGTCAAAGGTTTGATTTTTACACGTAATTTGTGGTCAGCCATTTTCATCTATCTGCAACCAGTTTTATTAAAATTAACCAGAAAATCAACCATAGTTCTTGGTTCATTAAACCCATTAAATAACGCAACAGCATTGCTATAGTCCCTCTGTCCTTCTCATGGAACCTCTTCTAGACTTCTTACTTCCAAGTGACCTGAACTCTTGAGTCTTGAGGTTTGGAAGGTGGTGGACTGGTGGGTGATATTGAGCAAATTGGTTCAAATGAATTTAAATCAATTCTTGGTCCGATTTGCTTCTGAAGCAAGGTAGTCAGTCCGATTTAATCCGCGAGCCCGATCGAGCAAATGAGTTGACGATTAATAGTCAGATCGTTGTAGTCCGGTTTAGTACAAATATATGAAAAAGTAATAATATTTTTGTCGTACATTTATAAATTATATCAAATCTCATCTGACTTATGAGTAATAACATATTAACATTACTACATCAAAATAACAATTCGTACTTGAATCCAACGAATGGTGAAAATTTAAACACACTCATATAACATCAATATTCAAATGTTCGATGTAGAATTCAAAAAATAAGGTTAGATGAAGAGAAAAACCGAAAAATATACACATTTTACAAATCAAAATGAAAAACGACACTATGTGACATCCAACCCAAAAACCTTGTTGCGAGTCGACCCGCGAATATGTGACGACACCCATTTGTCTCACTGGGTCCGAGTCAAACCGAGTCAACCTACGGGTTTACTAGGTTGACAACCTTGCTCGAGAGCGAAACATTGAGCACGGTAGACTCGGGTCTAGCGTAGCACTACTGCACTAGTATGGCTATACCTCGACTCAGAACTCAGAAGTCTCAATCCGATTCAATGGAAAAGAAGGATAAAGGATAAACCTGTCTACATGCTAGGCATGCTCTAGGTTTGTGACGTGGGCTTCAATTTGGCCGTCATTTCATGGCACGGTATCTACTCCTTTGAAAGAAAGTCTAGCTTAGCTTCAAACACCAAAAAGAATCATAGAAAGTCTCTGTTCAACTGTATTCGGTCCGGCCGCCTTGAGTATCCAACGATATGGAAGAAACTAAAGTAGAAACAGAGACACCCACCAAAGAAACTTTTGGTCAAGTTATATTGAGGAGCACCAGCAACATCATCGAACAATACTGTTGCGTTTCTAAAGCTCGTGCAAATTCGACCATCCTCGCATGATCGACGATCGTTGAAACACGAGCTTCGTGTTCTATAACTGTTAGATATATGTCGTGATAATCTTGTAAACACGTATTCAACCATGGTAACTCATGGAACATGCAATCCAACAACTGTTAGAGCGTTTAGAAGTACTAAAGCACCCTAGTCTTAAACCGGTTTGACAACCTTGTGGGGGCATAAACAGAGGGAAGAAGGTTGGAGAAACAGGGGAAACAGTAGAAGTACGAGTTTCCAAGCAGAGGACTTTTCTTTTCTTCTATTGTGTTCAATTCAAAGTAGTGGAATGAAGGAGTGATGTTGGCATTGCGTGTCCGGAGAGTTAAATTTAATGAAAAGGAGAAAACCCCCTAAAGTGGAGAAGTTTTGAGAGAGACCTCCATATCCATTCCTTTCTTCCCTCTCCTTCCTTTTCCCCTGTTCTTGTCTCTGTTTTTTATTACCTCCTTCTACTTCCCACTGTCTTTTTGTCAACGATGATGATGAGATAGACTGGTTCATTGTTGCACTTCCATGAGTAGAGTGAGTTTTCTGGCAATGGTACGTAATACGCATTACGAAACCTCTGAGAGCGAATGATTCTTGTCTACGCAACGGTAGCAAGATTTTCTCACGATGATACTTGACAACCCATGAGAATGAAAAACACAATTCGCATAACCATCAAGCTAATTTTCTCAAAATGTTAGGTCGTGAGATTCAAATCCAAGAGAACATTCGTTGTCCGTAATTAGTAATTTGCCTAATTGACTTCAATCCTCGTGAGTTGTAAATTACAAGTTATAACAGAGATGAGGAGAGCAGAGCATACCCGACACTACAACCTAAGTAGGGCAGTACGGAAACTTTTCTGCGTACACCATGCCCTACATAACATTACAACCACATTCTCATCTACCAGGAAGGAACTCCCCCAAACTTCACGCATCATTGCACAAACACCTTTTACCATAGTGGGGAAACAAACCAAGACGTTAGATTTGGGTAGTGCCAAGTCGATAATAATTCGGCATCATTTCATTAAATACCCACATCATAATAATTTATTGACCCCACTCTCCTCTAACAAATTAGTAGTAAAAACCGGTGACCGTATATAAAATTGTTTTCTTCCCCTTCTACATTGCTATGGATAATGACTAAAGACCAAAGGAAGAAAGGACCATTACCCCACTCCACTAACTTTGCCGACTGGCTAAAGTGTTCCCCTTAGCTTCAACCTAGAGCAAATTTTGATTAAAATCCAAATAAAATGGAGTCTTAGAAGTATCGCTTCTTCCGTTTGTGTGGTTTGAATTTTAATGTGATAAAAATGATTTATTCTTTGAAATCGTCTTCAAATGATGATACAATTATCCATTCTATGAATTGTCTTCAAATGATGTCGAAGTGGGCACATAATTATAGTGTAAAACGTGATGGATATCTGAATTTTGCACACACAGTGGCTTCTTCGTTTGATTTTGTACATTTGAGAAAGATCAGCTTCATTTCCCATCTTTTCCATATTATAGATCTCAAGGGGGAAAAAATCAGAAATCCAAACAAAAAACCCCCAACTTGCGGTCTCGCTTGTCTCAAAACAATCAAACCCACATCTGCCAACCCTAGGCCCAGCCCCACCCACCTTTCCATTTTGTTTGTGTTCTCCTTTTGACTCGTTGGTACAGAAGTCAACCCTCACGGATTTCTTCCCCTCAAACTTTCCAAGATCTTCCCTCACCTAAACCTTCATCGCCCCACCATAACCGCATTTACTTAATACCAGTTTACTATATACTAAGCACATAATTAATTATTAATACACCATTATCCACCCCAACCACCATACCACAAAACCAGACACAGAATAATTAACAATAAAAATATACATTCATCTTTCTGCATTTGGGAAGGGGTAAAACGAGCCCACCATAAGCAAAGCAGGCTCTTTACAAAATATACCCTTACAATAACACTAACAATATCGTTAACTTCAAAGTCTGGATAATCATCATCTTAATGCTACTTACTGGGTCTGACACTGAACCACACATTAATTAAGCAATTAACAAACTGGAAAAATATTAAGAGAGACGAATTCTTCCACCGCAGGGTTTTTTTTTTGAAAAATTAAAAAGTAAAATAACCGAAATAGTAATCGCCCGCCGCCGCCCACAGCCTGTACAGAAATCTCTCCTTCTCCTTCCGCTTTTTGCCAGCTTCATCGGCCACCGCTTCCTTCTGAAAATTGCTAATCTTCCCCCAAAATAGAGATCACCAGTCTTCGGCCGCCGCCACAACTTCCATCAAATCATAATATTGACAAAAGACATATGCACATTCTTCTACAATTTCAATTTATGTGGATTTTTTTCCTGCTTTCACTTTTTTTTTTTTTCAACCGCCGTTTCACCCCAAAAGCCACCGCCTTGTCGTATCTCCTCCGGCGGCCGCCGCCATATGTACAAACTGAGAAGAAACCAGAACGAAGCCATCCATATACCGAAAAGAAAACCCATATCCTCCCCCAGGAAAACGACAAAACGCACAGCCGGATCCGGGCCCGCGGCCCATTGATCACTGAACCAGCTCCGAAATCCAATCCACGTCCAGACCTCCGACCGTCGAATACGGGCTCGGGTCCCCCCGCTCAAGCATGTTCTCCTTGCTAATTTTCTCGAACATCCTCGCCCTGATATCCCTCCCGGATTCCACCCTCTCCATTGCTGGCTCTTCCTCGCACACTTTGTCCCAGAAATCGGCCGAGTACCCGAGCCCGCTCGGGGTCGTCGGCACGCTGCAGAAACCGGGTCGGAGGAGCGACCCGGCGCGAGGAGACCCGTACCCGGATCCCCCTCCACCGCCGCCACCGGCTCCAATCCAGGAAGAAGGCAGGGATTTCACCTTACCCAGCTGCAAGTTCCGGAGAGACACCATCATCTCGTTGATCGAGTTGGAACCCAGCGAGCGGCTCAGCGTCTGCTGAGTCGTCATCGGCGACATCGGCGGCGAGTCCGTCTCGGGGGGCGAGACAGAACCCGGGGACGAAGTCATGAATGGCAGAGTCCGAGCACAGGAAGCCTCAATCGCCTGGCGGAACGGCGATCCATCGTACGACTCGGTACTCCTCGGGCTCTGAGGCAGAACCCGGAGTTGCTCCGGCGTGTGAGCGAAGAAACAGACCCGCCTCTTGCAATTAGTCCCGTCCTTACACGGCTGGGTGCGGTACCGGGCCGGGTGGAGCCAGCACTCGAACACTCCGTGAGCGAACTCGCAGCCGTCGCCCTTCTTGCAGTTCCCCTTTCGGAACTCGGGGCATGCCGTGCCGGAGTAATGGTACTTCCGCGGATCCCTCCGGCGAGCTTTCTCGCCGGGGTGAGCGTAGGGGCACTCCGTCCAGTCGTGGGAGCGGCCGCGGGCGCACCGCCGGATCTTGAATTCGTAGATCCTGAAGTGATCGCAGGAGTAGGCGTCGACCTGGGAGTCGTGGTCGAGACCCGGGATGTCGAAATCCGGGTGCAAATCCGGGTCGTTGGAGGGGAGGAACCGCTGCAGCGCTGACAGAGCTTCCTGGACGTAGAAGGGATTGTAGTGATCGGAAGCAGGGGAGGAGACATTGCTCCCGCCGCCGCCGTAGTGTGGGCTGTAGAAATCGGAGGAATTGTCGTCGACGGCCGTCCACGGAGGAACGTGAACGGAAGGATGAGGACGGTGTTGCTCGCCTAGCATCATCGTTTCAGGAAAATCTCGAATCTAGAAGAAGAATGGAGAAATCGATCTTTTTTCGCTGCTTTTGTTGGTTTTTGGGTTAATGGAGGTCGGTTGATTTTTTGTACACAGAAATACCGGCAAGGTTTGGTGGTATATAAACTGCTGACGGGAGTGGCGAGGTAACCGGGGTAGGGTTGAGGGGAACTAACCGTGGTTAGGTCAAACATTTTCGGAGGAGCTAGTTTGTAATTTTCCAGGGCGGTTAAAATATTAATTAAATGTGGGGGAGTATTTCGGGGATCACATGCGGGAGAATCAGAAAGAGGGAGGTGGATCGTACACGTGGCGATGGTGGACATGCCTTGGTCCACGTGGCGGAGAGGTGGTGGAGGTGAGGGGATTAAAAATCACAGAGGGGTTGTACGTGGAAACTACCGGGCTGGGCACTGCCTGCAATGATTTTGTTCTTTATTCTTTTTTTCTTTTCTTGAATCCAAACAAGGTGTTACGCCTTAGAGCATCTCCATCAATGCAATTGTAAAAGAAATTGCATTTATGTTTTTTATTGTCTACCCAAATTTCTTGCAATCCACATCACATTCATTTCATTCACCTACATCAATGAAATTAACTTGCAATTGCATATATAATTAAATATTATGTTTAAATTACAAAAAATTAAGTAAAAGAGAAAAAAAATAATATAAAATACAAAATTCCCATTTTTTTAGGCTTTTTTGACTTGCATATGGAATTGCATTTGTTGCAAGCTTGCAAATATGCAATTGGTAGCCATATCAATGCAATTGGTTTTGCAATTGCAAACACCTATGCCATGTCATTTTGCAATTGAGAATGCAATACCAATGTGGATGCTCTTATAGGGTTCCCGGAGGCGGCGGAGCGTCAGATACGCCAAGACTCCTATGAGTGAAACTGAAAATACAAAATACTGAAAATTATTAATCTCTTCGTTCTCCCAGCACACAGTTAATGCTACGGTCTACAAAACACTAAATTCTCAATTTTTTTTTGAAATAATTCTCAAATAAATAGGCTGGACGGGGTAGGCTAGATTTTTCAGTAAAAATCCAACCAATCCTAAAAAATATAAGTATTTTGCACCATAAAAATAAAAGTTCAACAAATTAACGGAAGTAAACGTCAAAATGCATAAAAATTATTGTTTAGATCTTGATGAAATGCAACTAATTTCAATATATGTCTAGTATTCTCTGTAAATATTTAATCAAGTAAGCTAAAGAGATTATTAATATAAAGAACACATTCATCTTATATCTAGATAATAAATAAAAGCCGAATGATGAAAACTGTTGCTCCATTTCAAATTTCCTGCAACGAGAGTGATTATAGGAAGGACATTTTGGTCTTCACAATTGCTTATTTTCTTATTTATTTATTCATAAAAAATGCATGCACTGGGATTTGAACCTTGGTATCTTTAAAGGCAAGCAAAGATCATAACCAATCACACTAAGTATATTTGTTGTATCTATTTAAATTCAAACATACACGAACCTAAATTATGAAAATCATATGACTTTTTTAACGATTAGTTGGCCACTGAATCTCCCGTAAGTACTTATTTGGTGTTTTAATACTTTGATTATTTTAGTTGTAGTTTAATACTTAATTTAAATTTCTATCTATTTTATAAATATACAATAACCCTAAAATTGCAGCCCAAATATCACTGGTTCGAATATTGCATATCGAATTGCAATATTAAACATGTAGAAGCAATATCGACTTCTTAAATTAATATTATTTTTCAGAATTACTATGGAGAAATTATATCTTTGTGCAAACTATATGAGACTGGTTCTTTTAATGTTTTAGTCGGGATAACCGCTACATTTTAAACTTCTTCATAATCTGGCATGATTGGATCCAATGATCATTATACAAGATTGTGTTTAATAGGGTGGCTCATTTCACCACTTTTTGGCGTGTTAATGAATTTGTAGGACAATGACAGGTCTACATCTACACTCATCACAATCTACACATCATATAAATGTGAAATGAGAAAAGAGGGATTCCATTTCAAATTTGATGCGTATAGAGCAATTTTTTAGGGGTAAATTTAGAAGATGCCAGTGCGGTCGGTCTGTTGAGCACGAAAGTAAAAATATGTTTTCATTTAAACGGGCGCAAACTGTTATTTGGCCCACTAATCGTGCACCCATCGCCAATGCAGTCAAATTCGGGATTTTGATCATAAAATCGTAGGATTTTAGGATTTTACTTAGGGATTCCGATCTTGATTTTACTATAAAATCGGTGGACCTTAAAATTGTTTAAAATCGGGACTAAAATCATTAAAATCGTAAAATAGTATCGAAATCGGGATTTTGATCGTAAGAGAACAAAATATGTGGTTTGAGCCAATTTAAAATAAGTATAACTGTTTCAGCGGAAAGAGCAATGGAATCTTCTCAGATATTTTTCTATTAGAAAAATATTCAAAAATAATAAAAATAACCAAATTAGGGTTCGGTTAATCTCTTTCCCTTCACCCCATTTAACTTATTGGTAAAACACATGTCCTAATATTGGAAGTATGTAAGAACTAACATCATTATTAACTAATTAATTTATTAATGAATATATTTGTACCAACCCACTAACATTACTTATTTTATTGGAGTTCAATTATTTTTAGTTTTAAATCATACTTAGTAGACGATGTCGAAATATTACTTTGAGTTAAACAACCTAGACATAACATGAAAATAAGAGCCAAACCCATGAACTATATCTCTTCATCATGAATTATTTTGAGTTACACATTAAATAACAATTAAAATAGTGATTTTGGAACATTAATCTTGAGAATGATCTTATGGAAAAAAAATCTTCTGAATTATCATTTTAAATGCTATGTGTCTTTGTGATATTAATAATTTACCTTATTAATATTCTTATATGCTATGTTCTATATGGTACTTAAAATCCTACGATTTTACGATTCGATTATACGATTTTGATTTTACCCCAGTTTTCGATTTTAGGTAAAATCTCGATTTTAACTGCTTTGCCCATCGCAGCCTCTCCAAATCTTCCTATTCTACTCGCCGGGTCATCTCATCCACTACAAAATATCTCCTCATGTACTCAAAGTTCTCACTGAAACCTAATATCTACAACTAAGGCGCAGAGGGAGCAACCGATGGATTGTAGCGACCCCCACTATTTTGATAGCTAATCAAGAAGAGCGCGTTTGTTTAGTTGTATGGTGACTCACTTAATTAACAATTTTAATTCCGTTGACAGCCTCCTCTCCGCAATTGTATTGTGTTCACGAAGATCTGAAGGCGCAAGTGCAACAGGTCCAGGGGTAAATAATATGTATAAAGCGTTGGCCAAATTGAATTGAGTCATTCTACTTGGAATATGAAGATTTTTGCTTAATTGCTTTGGTTCGTGAGGCAACTATGTTATGTTTGAAGGTAGACCAACGCAAACAACAGCACAGCTCCAGGGCTATTCTGCACATTAGGTAGTTGGGGCATTAATTGATAATTATTTGGGATTATTCCTACAAGTACATAATTTGGAACGTGCCTTTATATTGCATTGATTAATAGTTGTTTGAGATTTTTCAAATGAGTGATTTGACATGTTAAAATCTCTCTTTTTTGAAATGGAGTCTTCGAAGTGGAATATGAAGATTTTGGATTAAGCTTGGTTTCGTAACGCCCTTATGGGTGTTTATTCTCTAAAATGCAGTTGTCTTTCAAAGTGCTCATTGCAAATGGCAAGTCAGGATACAACGATGGTACCGGTACACGTTTATATCATTAGTAGGTAGCAGATTGTGTCCATTCTACTATATCATTTAGCTAAATACTTAGTTGTTCTTTTCAACTAAAAATTATGCTTAAATGCTGTGATTGGCCTCAGAAATGTATGTCTTTGCATTAACTGTTAATGATTGTGAGTTTTGGTTTAATGGTGAAAAGTCCATTTATTTAGAAGTCTAAATTTGGCAAACCTATTGGACAATAGGAATGCCATACATTAGTGTCGTGGGAGGTTTGTTTGATGTCTCAGGGTGTTAGATTTTTAAGAAGGTTGTTTGTTGTGGCAGAGAGTCCCTAAAGCTAGCGAGGTATTCCTATGTGGGCTTTTTCTTTGTTTGACTTTTTCTCGCCTTTTTTCTTATCTCTTTTTCTATTTTTGGTTTTTGTGTGCTACCTTCAGTTGCTACGTCTTCATTTGTGAGCCATCTATACTTTTCTTATTCAGTGCCTAAAAATCATATATACTCGATTGCATAGTAGTTACTAATAGATACATTTATACCAATAGAGAGATTTTAAGTTTTATCAGTTGTTAGTTTTAATATTTACTTACATTGGTTGTTTATGTAGTTTTCTTTGTAATATTTCTCATTATACAACTAATTACTATGGCTACGTAGTTGTATAAGTGGGGGTTGGACATGATAGTTCTTAGAAGCATCAATACTTGAAGGTTATTATAATGACCAAATTCTAAAGTTGTGGTTTGCCTTCAACTTGCTTGGAGCATTTCAATTATGCATCAATTGTTCTCTCCGTGTAGTTAACTCTCAGACAAATCGAAAATCTTGCTGATATGTGCTTGATTGTAGTTAAATTTAGGGTTCTACTGCATTGTTGCTTTACTCTTTTTTCGTGGTTGAGTCTGCTTCAAAAAATTTAGTTTGATTTTAGAAAATTTTGCTTCTGCAGTCCTGTCTTGCCACCAACGCGTTCAATAGATGGAGACGGGAGAGGCGAAGGCTATTTTTGTGTTGTTGTTGCTGGTTTAGGGATCGGTTTGTGAAGAAGAGGGAGAAGAGAGGGGGAAAGGGAAATGCAGGAGAGGGGGATAACTCTTTTCTCCGACAAAAATGGAGTGAAGAAAGGAATTATGATCAGTAAGAATATGGTTATCTTACATAACGGTCTCTATTCTGTTTGAATTGAGCTTGAGAGGCAGTGATAAGGACGAGCTGCAACCAATTCATAGTG